ACTCTCTTTAAATTCCGCAAATTTTGGATGTTCCGGTTTTATTGGCAGCCATGGCATAGATCGTACGGACTTGATTGACTGATGAAAGGTGAAGCGGTTCCTCTGTTACCTGTTTGGCCGGATTTTGGTGACCTTTGTCTGTTGACAAGTAGGTTGTCATGCTGGAAGGATGAACAGAGCATTGTGTGGGGGGGCCGGGGGACGGTGACAATTTGTTGTGCCGTGTCTCCAGGGAGCTGACCAGCACATCCACCAACAAAAGACAATGACTTTGTCTGACAAGATGTGTCAGTGTGACTGTGAGGGTCATTGAGTGCGTGGTGTGTACGGAGGAGAGAGGATGGTGAGTTGGCTGTACCATTGAGAAATGTCCGGTGACGCAGCGAGAGGCGAGTGACCGGGAGCGCCGGCGTTACAATTTCAGGCGCTGTCCTCACTCGGCCCCTGCTGGGGAAGTCAGCGCTGACGGTTGTTACATTGTATTGGGTCCAATGATCGAACGCTAGAACCCTTTCCCCTGGTGTGAGATCTTCCAAGGTCTAGTAGATCCATTTGGTGGTCCGATAGCCTTCCAGTCTAGTAATGGGAAGGGGGGTAGAGGAAACCAGGAAGATCTCTCCAGTGAACAAAGCCACTAGATCTGGTCTTATACAGGCGAAGCAGAAGGTTCAAGAGCTAGAACTTTGGCGCAGAGGATCCCGGTGCTTGGGAGGCGAGTCTGTAGACCGGAGGTAGGCAACTTCGGCACTGCAGCTGTGGTGAAACAACAAACCCCATCATGCCTCTGTCTCTGGGGGTCATTACTGTGGCTGCCAGAGTCTTGCAATGCCTCATGGGACTTGTAGTTCCACAACCGCTGGAGTGCTGAGGTTGCCCACCCCTGATATAGACAAAGGGTTAGGGCCCATTAGATCTAGAGGAGGGTTTGTTTGGCAGGTGGGTTGTCATGTGCATCAAGGTGTGTTTCCTCTGCGCGTTGACATGCGTTATTGACGCTCGCTTCCAATTAATTTTTTGATGTTGGATTTGAAGTGGGCGGAGCTAACAGCCATTGGCCAAAGCTTGTTCATTCACTCTGCCAGTGCTTCAAAACGCACTGCAAAAGGCAACAGTGTAAATGGGCCCTTTAACTTTCTGAAAGTAGATGTAAAACCCGAACTGGATTATATTTACTCTGCAAAGCTCTATGTATCAAACAATATTTACCATGATTTCTTCTAGAAATTACTCGTTGTCCCCATTTGTCCTTCCTTCTTGCCCATTCTCAG